TTTCTAATCCCAGTCAGATCTGATAGAAGAGCTGAGACTTCCCGGACTATTCTGCTCCATCCAGGAACTCCAGACGTCCCAGCCACGTATCCAGCAGGCAGGAAGGAGGTTGAAAGGACAAGGAGGAGAAGGTAAAATAGTCACAAGTGCCAGTTTACCTGGATGGAATGAGAACAGTTCAGATTCCAGCTGGTTGGTAACCAATGTGTCCCTGAAGATTTTGTATTCCAGCTGTTAGAGAAGGCTAAAACCCACACCATCATGATTTCACTGCTGTTCTGATGTGCTCTGCCTGGATTCAGTTACTACTGACCAAAAAAAAAAAGGCCCTAAGTTTGCTGTGCAGGCATTGTGCTACCCCTTGCTTGTGATGGAGGTGCCTTCCTGAGGGACAGGTGGCAGGTCTTACTTTAATTTTCAACTTTAATCTTTAATTTTCAACTCAGTCCTCATTTAAATCTCACACACACACAAAATACAACCAGTCCATCTGAAAGCTCTGTGTCGTTAGGGAAATTATTTGGGAAAAATTCATGTTGTGGTCCTGCCCCATCGCTGGTTTGCTGGTGCCACAGTTGTAAACTGCAAATTAAAGGAAGCCTTTAAGCCTCTTGTTGTGTACCACTGAAATTGTCTGCCAGGAATTCCTACCAAAGTGTTGTATTCCAAAATACTTTGGTTTGCTGGGCACCAAGAAAATACTTGCAGTACTGCCATTTTGGCAGATTTTCTTTTGCTTCTGTGTTTTCACGTGATTGTGATAACTTGTGGAAGATGAAACTTTCACTGTTAGGGAGATTTTTTTCTTCTATTTTTTTTTTATTATTATTTTTTTTAAACAGTGCCTTCCATCTATTTCCACACCCAGCTGAAACTATGCTGCAACACTTCGAAATCAGGTCCTTGAAGTACAGTCAAATTTGTACGTAGAAGTTTTGTAAGAACTGGGATGAAATGGAGTGGAATGCCAGAATGACTCATTGTTTAATGAATAAGGCCCTAAGTGTTCCATTGGTGCCATTTATAAATCTCGATAAAATGTACAGAATTTGTGTCATAACTGGAATTCCAAGCACAGCAACCTTGGGAGCTAAATTATGATGATGATGGGGTACTGCACAAATTAATATGGATTCTAGCATGCTCCTGCCTGAAAGCTGCTCAGACAGTTAAAAATAAGACAATTTCATTACAGAGATTCACAAATGCTGCTTTTGGAAATTACTGAAGAAGGAAGATGTTTCTGTGTGTGTGAGGGTTAAAAAGCGCAATCTATAAGGGAAGCAGATGTGCTTTCAATTAGCTGGAGGTATCGATTGCAATGCACAGTGCAATTGGAAAATAAAAGTATTAGCTGGTATAGGGCAGCTCAATATTTGGAACTCTTCTGTTGGAAATGAGCAGTCTGAGGCTGGAGCAGAGATCTGATCACACATCTCTCTTTTTGACTTTTTTCCTCCTTGTTCTTGCTTTTCCCATTTTGGAAATTTCCCATGTCAGAAGAAGATCCAAAATGCTTTATTTGGGAACAACACCCTCCCCCCCCAACCCTTTTTTTTTTTCTTCTTTGTTCTTTAAAGAACACAAAACTTCTTGTTGCCCTGACTCCTCTGATGCTCCAGGCAGTCCCACTTGCATATATATTTAGATTTATATATTCAAAATATAAAATGTATTCTCCCCAAGCAAATAATTTGTACATGCTATAGGGTGAAATTAGCCTCTTTGTGCAATGTCATGGCCCTGTTTCTTGGTTAAATAAGTTCAAGAATTAGGTTTCTGGGGCAGATGTGGAAAGAAATTGAAATTCTTCTGTGTTATGTGCAGTGTTTCCTCCTTCCCACCACCTGCACTCGAGACCCCTTGGAAGAGTCCTGTTGAGGAGCAGTGTGGGTGTAGTCTATAATTTCTGTTTTCCTCCTGTGTTCTCATAGAATCCTAGAGTGGTTTGGCTTGGAAGGGACTTTGAAGATCATCTGGAAGGTTCCCAAGTGCAGGCAGCCTCGTGTTGGGGTTCAGGGCTCTCCTTTGGGTCAGCAACGAGAGATTTGCATCAGCTTTGACTGCCAGTTTTCCCTCCTCTGAGGACAAGCCTGTGATTTCCCTCATCTTGTCCTTGTCACAGGTGTGACACACACGGCTCACAGGTTTCATTATGGCTTTCATAATGTATTAACCAAATGTCAGGCTCCAGTCATTTATAATTAACGGCGATGCATTAACGTCGTGCCCAGTGGTTGCAGAGTGAGAGTGTTTCTGTGAATGGGGCATTTTTTTTTTTAATTCATGCAACTGTTGATGTCCAGAACAGCCACAACCAGGCAGGTGAATGGTCAGGAAAGACAGATTTATTCTTTTTATTTTGTTTACTTCTTGACTTCTTGGTGGGTAACTGGACCTTGTTAATCCTCAGTCGAGTGGAGATCTAACTCAAGCCACAAATGGAAGTTTTTATGAACGTTTAAGGTCTTGCTCCTGTTATAAAATTGGAGTTGATAAACCCCTGCTCCACACTAATGTGAAAATCCCCTGAGCACTGTCTGGTTTTTTGGGGCCCAAAGACAGTAGGACACAAGAGCACAGGAGCTGTTCCACCCAATCTGAGAAGACAAAAGAGTGGCTCAAAAAAGTGCCAGCAAAAAAAGGTTCCAAAGCAGGGAGAAATCTGAAAGTGCTGCAGTGAACTGTTCCCCTTGGAAAGGGAAACCAAATGGATGTTACAATGAAAAGGAAGACTGAGAATCTCCCAGTCTCACAAAGTGAATGCAAGGAGACGTGTAGCGAAATTAAACGGTGACAAATGGAAAATGTTTTACAAAGCAATTCTTTCCCACCAGTATTTAATTAGAAAAGGAGCCTAATTGCTTTTAGAAGTTAATGGGGAGTTTGCAAGTCTAGAGCAGATTAGATACTTATGGTTTTAATAACCATCCATAGAATTGTGGTAATTCATTATGAAAACTTGAGAGCCAAGTTTAGACTTTCTGTTTCAAGGTTTAGGATGAAGTGCAGCAGTTCAAGCCCAGGGAAAGACCAGTGGGAAGGACAGCTCTTGCCTGATCCAAGCTGCTAATACTTGTCACTATTAGAGGAGGTATGTTGGAGAAGTCTGGATTCTGGCCCAGTCTATATATGTCCCCTGCACAGGATTAAGCACATAGTTTGCCACTGGCAGATAAAAGGGAAGGGTTGATAGATGTTTGTCCTTCACTTGGGTTCATATATTGAATAACTGCAGTGCTGCAGTATTAATAATAATTATTCAAATGCATGGACCATTGAATAACTCCTTTCCAGTGGGAAAGGATTGAATGTCCCCTGTCCAGAAAGGAAAGCAGAGGAAGGTGAGTGATTTACCCAAGGCCAGGCAGTGTATTATTGGAGGGCTGGGTACAAAAGCCAGGTCAGTTGGATTGAGATCTGCATCTAAACATATGCTGTGACCTTTTCCCTCCCCATTAAATACATTTCCTGGAACCCTGGTATTGCCAGGAGTAATAAAAGTTCCAGAAGCAGCAAGGGGGGGGTCACACCTGGCTCTGCCTTCACACCCCCTTTGCAGTGTGAGGTTAGAGCTGAGCTTCGCTCCCAGATGATCCTGTGCTTGGTGCTGAATTTGGGGTCACTGCAGCCCCTGCAGAGTGTAGGCAGGCCCTTTGTATTCCTTGGCTTAAGTGAGATTTAAGGAATTGCTGCAAACAGCAGGTCAAACCCATTCTGGGATTAATGGCACTGGTGTGGGTTTATTGAAAAGTTTGTTTTTCTTGTGTTTGAAGTGGCCTCTCATCTCCTCTGACAACAAATAGCAGTTGTGGCATCAGAGAGTGGTTTGCAATAGTGGTGTTTGCAGCCTGTCGGATGCCACAGTTTCCTCTTGGCTTCCCATTTCCTTTCATAAAGGAGGTTGTTGGATTTGGAGGATGGGATTTGAAAGAAAGAATGAGGAAGAGGAGGAAAAACAGGAAGGAAATGGGAAGGGAAGAAGGCAAGACTCGATTGCTCTCTGCTACAAATCTTGTGGTTTGAGTTGACTTTAGAAACTACCCTTCCAATGGCTTTTGAAATGTGAAAGAAGAACTTATTTTAGAAGAGCCCTAAGATAGTTCAGTCACGTGCTTCCCCTCATTTGAATGTGGGAATAATTAGTGAATGAGAAGTCAAACTAGTGGAGGTGTTAGTGGACAAAATACAATCAGTGTCCACTACTTGCTGTGTTGGTAATGATGTAGTTGGACTGTGAATCAGGTCTGTTTTTATTTTTTTTATTTTTAGGAATATATAATATAATAATATATGGCTTATGGGGTGTGATATTATAAATATCATACTTATAATTCCCTACTTATGTTAATATTTAGTTTGTTACAGCATCTAATAAATCCTCAAGGGCCAGGTGCTGGTGGCTGCATTTCATAAAGGGACTGCTTGGGATTTTGCACCATAGTTAAAGAACTGCAGTCCCTTCCTTCCTCAACAGAAGGAGCATATCCACACTCTGCTGGGGGAATTGCTGCTGTGAGAGGTTTTGTGATGCTCTGTTTTGTTTATATTCCCAATAGAGAGGCAATTTTTAGCTGTGAAATACCTGTCCACAATCTCATTCTACTCTGAGTCTCAGTGAGAGAATCTTGTCTTCTGGTGATCTGCAGGTGACAGACGTGCTCCAGGCAGTGGGACTCAAGCCTGTCTTTAACTGCACTGCTCAGGCAGTGCCTCGAGACCCCAAAATGGTGAATTCTGGTGTAACTTCACATTTTTGTTTGCTGCTTGTGTGACAGGTCTGAAACCTCAGTGGTGATTCTGGAGAATCCGGAATAGTTTGGGTTGGAAGGGACCTTAAAGCTCATCCAGTTCCACCCCCTGCCATGGGCAGGGACACCTTCCACCAGCCCAGGTTGCTCCAACATCCAACCTGGCCTTGGGCACTCCCAGCCAAGAATTCCTTCCCAATATCCCAATCTAAACCTCCCCCCTGTCAATTTGAAGCCATTGCTGGAGCAACAACAAGGGCAAAACGAGTCTCTCCTTTGCCTGGGTGTCCAAGGGAGGTTTAGAAGCTCCAGGAAGGGCGGAATTCACTTGGGAATCTCCAGGTTTTGTGAGGCAGCTCCCTCCCTGCCTCGTGCCACACTGCATCACATCTGAACGAGGGTTTTGCATTATATATTAGCACAGATCTGTCCTCAGTTACCCTACTCCGGGAGAAGACCATTTTTAAATCTTTAATAGGGCATTAGAGCAATTTGCCTGTGATTTAGTTTTAAGTGGGCAAGGAGAGTGGTGACAAACGAAGCCGGGAGGCCCTGGAATTCTTTGAATATTCCATGTTTTCCTGGAACTGTTGGGAAGAGGCTGCCAGAAAGGTCTTGGCAGGTCTTCTAGGTGGCTGGCCAAGTCTGAAGCAAACGTGGATGGTTAACAGGCTAAATGCAGCTCTGGTTCCAAGTCCCTACGTATATAACATACGTTTTTATTTAAGAAATCCCACCACATGGAGGAGCAAATGTAGTGCTAATATATATATATATATCTTCCTGAAAGAAAACAGCAAAGGGGAAAAAACCCTGTCATCTCGTAACAATAAAATGAAGGATCTTTTTTGCCCTTGCTTTTTTAGGGACTTGGGTTGTCGGTTGAAGGAGAGAAGTGGTAGGAAATGAAATCAGGAGACAGGCAGTGGCTTTCCCACGAGGGCCCCACATTAATCAGGAATGGCTTATGGAGCAATAGTTGGTGTCTGAGGAAAGAGGCAGAAGTTGTTCGAAGAATGGATTTCCGTTGCTAGATTGACTTTTTTTTGTTGTTGCCATGCAAGTAATTAAAAATGGCAATTAAGCAGGAAAAGTGATCAGATGGTCACTCGGGACCTGCTGCTGCAGTTGGGTCCGTGTGGACAATCAGTTCAAGAGGGAAACAGGAGGGACCACCTGTGTGGGTCAGATAATGAGAATTAGGGGCTGTTACTGAATCATCCCCAAGTGTAGGTCGGGATGGGAGGGGTTTCTCTGTGCACCAGGGTTGGGATCATGGTTCTGTTTGGTCCCAGGGATTTGGTGTTTGCTCTGGTGGCTGCTGGAAGTTGCTCCTGGGAAACACGAGGTGGGATTTCGTAGAGACACCAAGCAGGTGAATTAGCTTTGCCACTTTAATATTGTCTCCACTGCGAGGGATCCTGGTTTGTGTACAGCTCCTGGGGCTTGTCCTGTTTTATTATTAATGGGGCAAAGCCTCTACCCTCAGAGTGAAACAATTTATTTTTCTTTATTAAACCATTGGTGCAGACCCTGAAGTTGTGCCCTGGACTCCCTGTGGGGTCTTGGATGAGTCACTTATTTTTCTTCAATTTTATTCCCTGCCTATAAAGTAGAGGTCCTTGTTCCTCATAAGGAGTGTTGCAAAGAGAGAGGAACTGGTCATGTGTGAGTTGCTGAGAGTCAGTCATGTTGGAATTGCAAGTGAAGGAATATTTCTGATGGGCTACCTTTGTGCTGACAGCCATTCATTGGTTCCACAGAGTTAAAGCTGACCATGGCTATAATCTAACAGCATTTTTATAAGTAGAGTCAACTTGAAAAGGTTATCATTACGCTTGAAAAATCCTAAAGAATGTTATTTATTATCATAGCAAGTTAGGTAACCTGTTAGAGTTTTATATTATCACAGTAAGTTAAGCAACCTGTTCATGTTATTTACTATCACAGTAAGTACGATATTTGGGTTTTACTGTTTGCTTTCACCTCTTCCTCTCTCATGAAAGTGTTCTGCTGTCTTTTTGCATTATAGAAAGCAGTGTCTCTGGGTTTAGGGTGCAGCAGAGCCTGCAGTGCAGCGTTAAGTGATGCAGAAGTGTGGATGGCACCGGGAGCTGCTGCGCCTGCTCCTGCTGCTATTTCTGGCAGGCGGGGACCGAGCGGCGTCTGATGGGCCAAATGTGAGTCCTCAGAGGCTGCTGTGTCTTCCTCTCCTCCTGACACTCATTCTGTCTGTCACATCCCCCTTGATAACGTGGCTCTCTGGTTTTTTAAGCTGCTCTCAGCACCAGGGGAGCAGCTGAAGAGGAGTTGCCGTGCTGGTTTCCCAGGGCTCGGCTTGAGGTGCCCGGGACTGGTATTTCTTTGACAGCAACGCCTGAATGTCTTGGCATCCTGGAGTCACCCTGCGAGGAGAGGCTCCCTGTCCCCAGTCTGAGTGCATAAGGCAGGCAGGAGGGGGAGCAGAGATGGAGAGACCTGCCCAAGCCACGGAGCACGTGGAGCAGGGAACAGGGCAGGGCTGTTGGATCCTCCCCACTGTCAGCACGGCTGATCTGGGATTCCTCTGCCTGGTTCTGAGCCAGCTCCTGCCTCTCCCTGGGCAGGGAACAGTGCATTGCACCCACCAGCCAGCTGGAGGAAATATTTTGGTGTCCTACCTTTGCAGTGCCTGAGACATGTATTTATTTAATGCGAAAAATAAGCCTTCATATGCTCTTTTTTTTTTTTTAAATTGTGTCAACTGTAGTACTAGAAAACCTAGGAAACATATCTTTGTTTCATCTTTTAAATAATTCCACCCTCTCTTTAAAAAGAAGTAAGTGGTGGTGAGAAGGGTGAAGTCTGACAAGAGGTCAGGGGATGTTTAGGAATTAGTGTGCTTTGAGGTTCTTCAGGTCCCTGCAGTCTCTCAGGGCTCTTTACAAACATTAATTAAGGCTCAGAGTCCCAACTCCTTTCTGAGGTGCAACAGTTATGTTATCAATTTGTGTTGTTTTTTTTTTTCTGTAGGGAAGAACTGAAAAAAGTCCACAGTGAATTCCTGGAGGAGATGGGAAAAGATCTGTGGACTGCAGGCCCTCAATCTCTGAATTACAATCTCTCCTTTACAGGTGACCCCAGCACTCCTTTCCTATTGAAATACAATTCATTCTAGCTCTGCTTTTAGTCTCATGGATATCTAACTTTAATTTAATTTTCTACTTTTCCTGCCTGCTCAGATTCCCAAAATGTCCCTGACCTTTCTGCATGTTTCTGAAGTTGAATTTGGGTTCAGCAGTTTAGGCTCTCATTGAACAGCCTCAACAGGTATTATTTTCATTGGCTTTTTCAGAAAAAAATAAAAAAAAACCAAAAAAGAAAGAGTTCATTGAGAGACACCATATTTTTCATGCAATGATTCTGTTGATATTTCAAGTGAAGTTTAAAAAGCCATTAAATGTTGACCAGACAATTTTTTTTTTTTTTGTAGCAGCCTTTTAGGTTAATGCGTTCATATAACTCCATGTCTTAGTCACTGATATATTTCAAAACATCAGACCTTAAGAAATTATGTCACCAAAACAGGTTAGATTTATCTGAAATTAGAGTGAGGTTCTTGAGGCTTTCATTATGCTCTTCATGAATCTTCTTTGAAACTTTGGGTGGACCTGAAACCCTGAGAAATATGAGAGTTTTCGGGTGCTTTCCGTGAGATGGGATTGGAAAATCATGCAGGAGGAGATGTAGTGCTTTTCTGCATGACTTCCTGCACATAACTTGGGAGTTTCACCTTGAGTTTTAGTTTGGTTCAATCCACTGTGTTTAGGAGAACTCAGGGATCAGGGCAGATTGGTGACTCCCTGCAGACAAAACACACATAACTCTGGGTACAGTGTTCCCAGGCTTGTTCTTTGATATGGGGTGAATTAATCTGTGTAACCTTTCTTTTCAAATTCCTCTGTGATATTGGCTGAGTTGAACTTCTCCCCTTTCCCTGAACTTGGATTTCAGTGAGGGTCCCAAGTGGTGCAGTGTCCCAGGGCCTTTCCCAGGAGGGGAACAGCACTGCCTGTTTGCTTTTTAGCTTGGAAATCAGTTCTTTTATGGCTTTTTCACTTTATTATTTTCAACTGTTCTCCATTATCCAGGGACTGATAGAGTTGGAGCTCAAAGAGAACCTGTTTTCAGAACTGGGGAATGGGGAGAAAATACAACCACCCCCCTTTAAGCTGTGTTGTTGTCAGGGTAGCGTTGGGTTTGGAGGTGAAAGCTGGTGGGTGAGTCAGGATAAAAGGAATTGTTGGTGGTGAAATGGAATTCAACCACACTCCATCCTCTCTGTTGACTGACAGGGCGTCAGGAGGGGATGACAAAAGCAGTCTGGACACAGCAGCTCTGCCAAGGACCTCGATCACTCCCAGGGCACGGTGAGCATTGTTGTGGGGCTTCTGTGTTATGGGCAAGCAAGGTAAGAAGTGATTTTATCACTAACTTGATGTGGAACTGGCCAGGGGTCTAAAAAACAGCAAGGTTCAAATTTTGGTTGTCAGGCTCCTCGCTTTGTGGAGTGATGTTCTGGAAATATCCCAGTCGTGACACTTTTGCCCAGTTTTGCTGTCCTTGGATGTGCCCCCACACTGTGAATTTGCACCATTCCTCACATCATTAGAATCCTTCACTTGTGCTTTTTAGTCCCCTGAAGGCATTTTTATTAATTTGTAAACTATTCTCATGTATTCTGCCCCTATAGCTGAGCTGTCTTATTTTAAAGATATTTCTGAAGTAATCTCTGTACAGTTTGCCTAGAGTGAAGTTATTGACTTGTCTCAAAAAGGCCTTAAGGTTTTATAGTTAATGCTTAAGTCCCTAAAGCTTCCTCCCTGGCTGAACATTCCTTCTCCTATGAATTGCTAATTCCAATTGATCTGAGGAAAAAAAAAAAATAGTAATAGTTTGTATTTTCTCTGCTTTCTGCTCTAACTGCTCACCTACCAAGGTCTCTTCTTGCTTTGATCCCTTCTCTGTGATTAAATCCATTCTTCCTTTCTGTTTTCCAGCTTCTCTCTGCAAACTTGCTCTCACTGCACTTCTACGAGAACTTCTCCTGCAAACCAGGTCCCTGAGAGGATCAGTGAGGGGGAGACCAATTTATTTATATTTATTTATAAACGAGCTGCAGAGACTTGGCCCCTTTTTAAACATAAGAACAATTTTCGGGCCTCTTTCAGTTGTGGTTATTTCACTCAAAAAAAAACCCCAAAAAAACCCAAACCCAACCCAACCACAGAACAATAGAGAAATATGAGGAGTTGTGGAAACCCCTAAAACTTTCTCTGTTTAGATTTCAAATTCCTGGTGGTCACAGGGCCAGGTGATGCTGCCAGTTGTGTTTTCCTCTGGAGTGCCTGGCTTGGGTGATCCCAAAGTACCAGGCTGAGTTAATTGCTGTGATCAAACTAGAATGACACCTCTGGTTTGGGTTGGTTTTTTTTTTTTTTTTGTGCCAGCCTGGAGGCCCTTAAGGTTTTGGAATTTGAGCCTTTGAAAAACAAGGTTACTGGACTCTAGTAAATGAAGTGTCAGGATGTCAGTGATGATTCATAAAAGCAATTAAAAAAGGAAAGTGCTTTTCCTCTGAGTGTAATGGCTTGAAGATGCCCTAAAGTGAGTGTGTGCTGCTGTTTCCAGCAAAACACTTCTTATCCTGTGGTTCTGCTGATCTAAACCAAATTTTTTTTCACGCAGTCACAGAACAGTCGGGGTTGGAAGGGACCTCTGGGGTCACTCAGTCCAACCCCCCTGCCCAGGCGGGGTCACCTGGAGCAGGTGACACAGGGACGTGGGGTTGGGATGTCTCCAGAGATGGAGACTCCACACCCTCCCTGGGCAGCTGTTCCAGTGCTCTGCCACCCTAAATTCTTCCCCATGTTGGGATGGAACTTGCTGTGTTTTACTTTGTGGCCACTGCTCCTCGTCCCATTGCTGGGCACCCCCCAAAAGAGTCTGGCACCACCCTCTTGGCACCCACCTTGGAGGTATTTGTATGTACTTGACAGCTGAATCTTTCTTATTTGGTTTATATTTCAGTGTAGTTCACATTTCTTCCTTCTTAAATTTGAGGGGAAAAAATCAGCTGAGGATGTAATATTTTCCATGGGAGAAATGGGGTTGTTGCAACATAAACGTTGGAGACGACAGAGGATTGAAATTCATCAAATATGATTTTCTTTTCCCCCCTCAGTGCTACTCTCTGGCATTTCTGAGCTGCCCCAAACAACAAGACACCTCATTTGTACAGCTTTAAATTGCTTTTCGATGAGCAGGAGTGAACTCTGCTAAGACATGATTAAGGTTATTGTTGTGCACAAAGATCCATCAGCGTGGCCACGTTACCTGTGCAAGAAGCAGACCCCGAGCCAGGGCCCAGCAAGCTTTTCAAGCCATCCCAACCAACCTGTTACCCATCAGGGATGGTTATTAGGCTGTTCTAGAGCAGGCACTTCCAGTCTTGCTTCCTTCTCCCAGTGGATGCCTCTTGCTTCTCTTGAAAATATTGAAGTTCCATTTGCTTTGCCCTCACATCCTGCCCTTGGTCATCCCTTGCATACAATGCTAAGGGAAGCAAAATAGTTTACTGATTTATCATGGATCATTAGATGGAGTAACTGTTCTTAAAACACCCCCAGTATGGATACAATAATTAGGGATGTGCTTTTGTTCACACTGCCAGCCTCTACCCTCTTGTACAGTACCCTTGGGTACTAAATAATTACCCACTTTGTGTGGTTATCTAGCTCACTAATTACCCACAAAAATTGGGGTCAGGTGTTAACTGCTTGAAATAAGTATCCTCCGAAGGCTTGGTTAAATTGCATAAAGAAATTATGTGTTTGCTACAAAACTTTCAAAAAACAAAACAAAAAAAAAATTAAACTTTTTTTTTTTGGAGGAAGATAAGGGAAGTGGAAGGAGATAATGGATGCAAAATGTTCTGTGTGATGGCAGAATCTTGCTGGGATGGTGAGGGAATCTAAAGGCAGTGAAAGGATGTTGGCAGATACAGCCTCTAATCCAGTCTACTTTTCCCAAAGATTAGATCCTTCAGTACACAGGGTTGGATTCTTCCCCAATCTAGGCTGATGCCAATCAGGATTATGCTGGTATAAATAAGAAAATTTGTATCTGTGGATTCCCAGACTGACTTTGCTGCATAATCCCACCTCTTCCATCACCCGGGGACTTCTGCATTGCACCCAATAATTTAATTATGTATTATATATTTATTTCCATATGTTTATTTTAGCTGTGTGCATGCAGAATTTTATTCTGAGGCTGCTGCTCATAAAATGCAGTTTGCTTGGAGCAATAATTTGATTCCTGTGCTCAGGGAGTTACCCCAGTGAGTCAAAGATTTCTAGATAGCCCCACCCTCCCCAACTTCCCGAACACTTACACTGCAGCCACTTTCCCTTTGCCAGCCCCACACAAGATGTCTAACTAGCCAAAATCCCAAGAGGCAATCCCAGTGTCCTGCCTCCCCTGTTTCAGCCCCAGAAAACTGGGAAATAAAGCCACAGAAGCCCTAAAGCCCTTGGAATACCCGGCACGTGTAGCAGAGGGATGTTTAATAGCCCGTCTTCCTAACCTGGTTTCTTGCATCGGTGCTCTCTGTCTTCAGTACAAAGGGAACAGATTTCAGTGGGAGCTGAGAAGGTGTCTCTAAAAATCCCTTGGACCCATCCCAGGGTCTCTGGATGCCCGGATACCTTTAATTCCTCAGCGTCTCTGCAGTGCACAGCCTAACAAAGAGGCTGCCTTTATTTATTGCTGGATTTTGTGGTAGGTGCTTCACAGCCAGAAGCACCTTCTGTTCCTAACAAGCACCTTTTGGAGCCTGTGTGGATTCAGGTATTAGAAATCACCAGCCTGAATGCTTGGGCAGACTGGGGGTGGGGGGTGGGGTGGGTGTCTCAGGAAGGGCCCCCAGGACGAGGTGTGTGATCTCCCTCGGGGGTACCTGCGCCCCGCATTATGTGTGGAGCATCCCTGGGAAACGCAGGGATCAGCCTCCTAAAGCACAATGCAGATTTAGTCGTCATCTTTGTCTCTCCCCCCCCGCAGCCCCCTCCCTCCCTGCTCTGCTCCCCGCTGATGTTAACTGTCTGTATTATTATTTATTGTTATCAGGGGATTTGGTTTGATCAATGAAGTGTATATGCGTCTGACGGACATTCGGGGAGGAAATGCTTGGAGAATGAGTAACATGTCTGCAGTGGAGGGTGTGTGTGAGGGAGAGAGGGAGAGAGCGAGCATCGGTACTAGAAACATTGACTGATGAGTTCATTTTAAAATCCAAGGGCATATAGCTGGTAAATTAGCACATATTGCAAATATAGTCTGGTGCGAGAGGCAGCGGTGCTGCCATTGAGCGGAGGGGTGGGTGTGGAGGGGAAGGAAAGGGGTGGGGGGGGTCGAGGAGAGGAGATTGTCAGCTCTAAAGTCATCACGGGCATGAGCCAGGCAGTCTGCCCTGCCTCACTGCAGACGTGGGGCGTGCGATTTCCACGGGCGGCTGCGGCGTGGCGGAGCGGGGGAAGGGGGGGGGGGGGGGGGGCGGGGGGCACCCGGGAGAGCAGCAGCGCTGGATTTTATTGTTTTAAAATCCAGAGCCAGCCGGAGGGATGCAAGGCGAAGGGCTGCAGCCCCTCCGCTTCCCCCTCTCCTTTCCCCTTCCAGCCCCCCGGCTCCCCCTTAGGAAGGCGGCGTGGGGCGGGAGCGGCTGCCCGGAGGGTCCCGGGGCTGGTACCCGGCGGGGATGCGGCGGGGACGGGGATGCGCCGGCGGGTTTCTCCCGGGAGTTTAAGAGATTATTGGGGAGGGGTGACCGGGAATGGTGTGTGTGAGAGTGTGTGTGTGTATGTGTGTGTGCGGGGCTGGCGGCGGGGGGAGCCGGGTCCTTATTCTGTTAAAGATTTAAGTAGGCATGCAAGGAATCTCTAGGATAGTTGGCAAAGGGCGAGGGTGGGGAGGCGGGGGGGAAGGATCCAAAAGAGTCTGTAACCAGACACTGAAGCTTTCCAGGAGTGAGAGTGTGTGAGAGAGACGGAGACAGAGCGAGAGGAAGAGAGGGGGCAGTGTGGTCTAGTACATTTTCATCTGGTCGTTGATTTGAGCCTGATGCTTGCTGTCCCTCAACAGCCTCCCTTGCCTGGATTTTTTCTTTCCCCCTCTCCTCTCCTTTCCCTTCTACTTCATCGAAGCCTAGGGGAGCCAGGAAAGATTAAATGTGCTTTCGAAAAGGCAGCCACTTCATGCAGCTA